CTCTCTCTCTCTCTCTCTCTCTCTCTTTCTCTGTTAGCGTTCACTTAGCGTTCATGAATATAACCAAACCTCTTACATATGCTATACACCTCAAACTTAACTGAACTTCAACTTTTACGTAAGGTAACTTAATCTTAACCAAACTCTCCCTGAAAACGATAAAAAAACAGTGGGAGACGACCACAACGACCCCTGTACCGACCTACGCCCCAGACGATATCATAGAGACGACCACGATGGACCCCGAGGAGCTCGCGAGGATCCGGGCGGAGCAAGCAGCCAAACTGGCCGAGGAACAGACCGAGGCAGCCGAGGAGATCAATTCCATGATGTCACAGCTGGAGATGATCAACACAGACACCCTCTCGGACTGCACACAGCTGTTCTCGACGGTGTCTTCGATCGTCGGGGACGGGAAGACGGTGGATATTAAGGGGAAGGACCTGGCTACGAAACAGGTGGGTGGGTTCGGCGGGTTTGGTGGGGGGAGGGTGAGGGGTGTAGGGTTTTGGGTGTTTTGGGAGTGTGGATGGAGGATGCTTGGTGTGTGGGTTCGTGGGGTTTGGTGTGTGTGTGTGAGGGGTGTAGGGTTTTTGGTGTTTTGGGAGTGTTAAGGGGGGATACTTGGTGTGTGGGTTCGTGGGGTTTGGTGGGGGTGTCTGAGGGGTGTAGGGTTTTTGGTGTTTTTGGAGTGTGAATGGAGGATGCTTGGTGTGTAACTGGTGTGTTGTTTTTTCTGGTGTTTTAGGGTGTGAGTTGTTTTGATGTAGGGGAGAAAAAGGGAGAGAGAAAGAAAGAGAAAGAAAAATAAGTAGAGGAAGAAGAAAAAGAGGGAGGAAGGGAGGGAGGGAGCCAGCCAGTCAGTCTGTCAGTCAAACAGTCAGACAGTCAGAAACAGAGTGGGAGAGAAAGGAAAAAGGAGAAGACACGCAAACAAAAAGAAAATTCTTACCCTAATCATTCCTCGTGTCTCTACAGGTAACAGGGACTTGCCTCACAAAGGTGCTGCTGAACATGACCATCAGCGACCCAGCGGAACCAGAAGCCTTTGTGAGCAACAGCATGCAATCCATTTCCTCTATGACAACGGTAAGAACATCAAAAGATCATGGGTAAATACGCGTGTATATATATTACTCTAAAACTTCAAAAGTCAGTTTGTCTCCTGCA